CCAAATGTCAAAACAACTCAGGCATGGTCAGATTCTGTTTACCTGGAATCCCTGGATCTAACCCCCACAGATACATGGTCATACATATATATGCATTGTTTCCCATTGTGCTGGGATCATATGTGCAGGGTTAACGTCCTGAGTGTCAGGAGAATTGATTGTACCAGGTAACCAAGTTTAGGTTGGTGCTGGTTGTATGGTAGCGGGAGGCCCAGCCTTTGTGAGTGCTGTGGTGAGTGACTCGAGATTTGCCAGTCTGTCGTTAATTTTTTGCTCATGGAGTTCATGAGTGAGGCTAGCATGGCCTAGGATGGCCTTGGTAGAGATGTTAAGTTGACATCTTTTACCTTTCAGGATATCTGTTAATGTGTGCTGGGATCATATGTGCAGGGTTAACATCCTGAGTGTCAGGAGAATTGATTGTACCAGGTAACCGAGTTTCGGTTGGTGCTGGTTGTGCAGTAGTGGGAGGCCCATCCTAGTGAGGGCTGTCAGGGGTCTTGTACTGGCTTGCTAGCTAAGCCGTGAGGCGAAACAATTAGGCTTGGTGTTTTTTGGTGACTGGTGAGGCCCTGCTAGTTGCCAAGTGGCTGAGAGGCTCTACCTATGCGTTGGTACGAGGGGCCACCAAACGTAGTGGCATGATGTTGGCCTCTCAGTGGCAGTAAACATAAAATAGGAAGGGGAGTGACAGGTGAGGTCCTCTCTATAACATAATGCGAGGCGGCTAGCAAATGAGTGGCCCGAGGGGTATATGCCTCCGAGTGTGAAGCAGGGTGTTGGCCTAATCGAAGTTAATGCAGAGAAAAAGGGGAAACTATTGGCCCCTATGACCCTACTGCCAGTACGCTATATCTATGCCATGGGAGATCAGATATGGATATACTATCTAAGCAGGTGAACATACCTGAACGTATGATTTTTAAACTGATAATCCGTATAGGTTCAGTAGTACCTGTAACCTAAATAGATGAGACCGTATGGAAATAAAGCATAGACCAAGTTTCCTTAATTTATGTGCCGTGTGGTGCAGTAAGAAAATAGTAATGTTGGTGTTTAAGTTGTACCAGGTGGAGTAAGTGGGAAAGCCACCCAATTATAGTGATAGTGATTTCTGTCTAGTAAGAGCTCAAGTAAGAGCAAGGAATTTTGTTTTGTTTATTATTATTTAAAGCACCTGTTTTTCCTATCAAATAAAAAGGAAAACCAAACTGAATGTGCCCTGGACTTTGTATACCCTAGAAGGCTGTGGTTTATTGTAAGATCTGTGACAAAATCCTACCTGTAAAAGAGGTGATTTGTTACAACATGTATAAATGAAACAATGAATAATCATGCCATATAGCCCGTATTGAGTGTTTTTAAGGAGCAAATTGTCACATGAAGCATGTAATAAAGTATGACCTGAGTGTTAGGATTAGTATGTGATAAAATAAAATATGTGATACCTGAAATAGTTGTATGCCTGCTATCACTCATTAAATGCTGACATGACAGGAATGTCAAAATAAAAATAGTAATACAAAACAATAGTGTACACGGTGTGAAAGACAAATAAATAGCTCTAAAACACCTATAAAGTGGTATCCCTTACACCACTATAAATACAATACAATACATACAAAATAATAGGTGGAGCTTTGAAATCTCTTGAACAATCTGTAAAACAGAATAAATGCAGATAGCGTAGTATGTCAATACAGTATAATACATAATAGAGGTAAGATGGTTGAACACACAAGACTAGAGTCATACCGTCATATGACTCTAAAAGTATGCTCCCTTGGACCATTAGGGGGTTGTCCAAACCCTTCTTTCATTGGTTTCTCGATGTTCCCCCCTTGTAATCCTTAGAGTGTCTCCAAAAGAGTGCCCAATATACAGGAGATCTTTGAATACTGGTTTTCTTTTATTATAACAGAAAATGGTAATAAAAATAACAAAAAAATAACAATACACTATACCAATAAATAGTGTATTTGGAAAAACCCTTTATGTAAAATGACCTGTAGGTGGCAGTGTAGGTTTGGTCGTCAGAAATGTATGTAGTAATGTCATGCAATTGATGTGTTGGAGGTGATATATGTAATTAATCAGTGTAGCTTGTAATTATTGATAGATGATATTGCATGGGGATCCCGTTGGATGTAACTGGGTGCCCGTCATGTTGTTAAATGGGACCGTGACCCGCTGACCCGTACTGGGGAAAAGTAAAACAGTGAAGTCATTGTAACTCTAAGGTCTGTTTTTGTTTGTGCAGTGCAGACCGCGCGAATGTGATTGATTGCTGTACGGGTGTATGCTAATGCCCGGCAGGCAAAATAAGTTATAGATTAAATGAATGTAGCTCGTTCGTGAATTCACAAAATGATGTATCTGTGGTATAATGGAACACATAGACTCCGTTTGTGCGGTTTGAAACGCACGAACAGAGTGTCATAACATAATGATACAAGTTGCTTATCCGAACAAGATTATGTGAAAGAGCCCTTGCGAGCAAGATACATAGAAATGCATGGAAATTTTTAACCGCCAGCTGTACGAACGGACAGAGAAAGTAGATTTGATGCAAAACAAACGTGACAGTAAAGTGTGCACCTAGCCAGTGATTAATGCCGTGGGACTGTTGCCTGGCGTAACGGGTAGGTCAACTTACGGTTTGTGAGTCACTAGGACGTGATCTGCGGCGATGAAAGAAGCAAGAACTGATCGGACAGAAAAGCCTGCGGCAGGATTCCTGGATGCAGCTCAGCGTTGAAGACCTCGTGAGAAAACAGAAGTATTCCAAAATGGCGACTGGATGAACCGGAAGTGCATTCAGAAGCTGACCTTGAGTGAAATGGAGTCAGGTAAGGGGTGTACCTTATATAGGTAAGTGAATTAACTTAAGCCCCTCCCACAATTACAGGCCAAACGGCCTTAATACATATATATATATATATATATATATCAAAAAGATTAGGAATCTGGCACTCTGCATTAATATAGTTGGAATACAAATAATCACGGTGCTGCACCGCGTAGAGTTATACAGAGAATGAAAAAATTAGAGCACTCAGGGGATTTTACAAAATCATTGTGTTATATTCAAAAAATAATTTTTTGAATATAACACAATATTTTTTGTAAAATTCACTGAGTGCTCTCATTTTTTTATTTTCTGTGTGTATATATACACTAAACAAAATTATAAACGCAACACTTTTATTTTTGCCCCCATTTTTCATGAGCTGGACTCAAAGCTTTAAGACGTTTTCTATGTACACAAAAGGCCTATTTCTCTCAAATATTGTTCACAAATCTGTCTAAATCTGTGTTAGTAAGCACTTTGCTGAGATAATCCATCTACCTCACAGGTGTGGCATATCAAGATGCTGATTAGACAGCATTATTATTGCAAAGGTGTGCCTTAGGCTGGCCACAATAGAAGGCCACTCTAAAATGTGCAGTTTTATCACACAGCACAATGCCACAGATGTCGCAAGCTTTGAGGGAGCCTGCAATTGGCATGCTGACTGCAGGAATGTCCACCAGAGCTGTTGCCCGCGAATTGAATGTTAATTTCTCTACCATAAGCCATCTTTAAAGGCGTTTCAGAGAATTTGGCAGTGCATCCAACCGGCCTCACAACTGCAGACCACGTGTAACCACACCAGCCCAGGACCTCCACATCCAGCATCTTCACCTCCAAGATCATCTGAGACAAGCCACCCGGACAGCTGCTGCAACAATCAGTTTGCATAACCAAAGAATTTCTGCACAAACTGTCAGAATCCGTCTCGGGGAAGCTCATCTCCATGCGTAATTATCGGGGTCTCGACCTGACTGTAGTTTGTCATCGTAACCAACTTGAGTGGGCAAATGCTCACATTTAATGGCGTCTGGCACTGTAGAGAAGTGTTCTCTTCACAGATTAATCCCGGTTTTCACTGTACAGGACAGATGGCAGACAGTGTGTATGACTTGCTGTGGGTGAGCGGTTTGCTGATGTCAACTTTGTTGATCGAGTGGCCCATGATGGCGGTGGGGTTATGTTATGAGCAGGCGTATGTTATGGACAATGAACACAGGTGCATTTTACTGATGGCATTTTGAATGCACAGAGATGCCGTAACGAAATCCTGAGGCCCATTGTTGTGCCATTCATCTACAAGCATCACTTCATGTTGCAGCATGATAATGCACGGCCCCATGTTGCAAGGATCTGTTCACAATTCCTGGAAGCTGAAAACATCCCAGTTTTTGCATGACCTGCATACTCATCAGACATGTCACCCATTGAGCATGTTTTGGATGCTCTGGATCGGTGTATACAACAGCATGTTCCAGGTCCTGTGAATATCCAGCAACTTCTCACAGCCATTGAAGATGAGTGAACCAACATTCCACACACCACAATCAACAACCTGATCAACTCTATGCGAAGGAGATGTGTTGCACTGCGTGAGGCAAATGGTGGTCACACCAGATACTGACTGTTTTTTGGACCCCCATCGGACCACCATGGTCCCCCCCCAATACTCAAATGGTTAACACTACTAATATTATGGAAGACACCAAACCCAAAAGAGATACAAAAACAAATGATAAAAATACGTACACACACAAATATACACTCTCTCTTTCTCTCTCTCTCTCTGTTATATTTAAAGATAAGAATGAATCTTAAAGCTAAACCTATCTTCATTTTGTATAATAAAGTGTGGTGGAAGGTGTTACATCTGAACAGTGTTACACAAACTATATCCTAAAATCATCGTTTATTCACTAAATTCTCAAAACTCAAATTCTAGGCCAAAATAGTTAAACATAAAAAAATAATATCCATCTCTATTATGTTTCCATCTCAAATATTTTAACTTACAATTAGCAATTTGCTGGTGAATGTCTGACAATTCCCCTGCTAGTGAATATTCCTGTCTATGTTACATATACTCATCTCACTTCTTTGAAATGTTTAAAATGAAGCACACCAAAGAAGATTAAAGTTTAGTACTTACATCATTACTTGGAGTACATTTATTTTCTTCTCGACTAGCACATGTTGGTGGAAACACTGGAAGGAAAAAGCAAATGAGAGAATTTTGTCACATTGTGGCAGCCTTCACTTAGTATTGATCAGTACGCTTTGATACATTTATAAAATCTAATATCTTGGTTTAATGCCAGTATAAACATGTGTATTATATATTATATATTATGCCTGCTATCACTCATTAAATGCTGACATGACAGGAATGTCAAAATAAAAATAGTAATACAAAACAATAGTGTACACGGTGTGAAAGACAAATAAATAGCTCTAAAACACCTATAAAGTGGTATCCCATAGAGCACTTTAAATACAATACAATACATACAAAATAATAGGTGGAGCTGTGAAATCTCTTGAACAATCTGTAAAACAGAATAAATGCAGATAGCGTAGTATGTCTATACAGTATAATACATAATAGAGGTAAGATGGTTGAACTCACAAGACTAGAGTCATACCGTCATATGACTCTAAAAGTATGCTCCCTTGGACCATTAGGGGGTTGTCCAAACCCTTCTTTCGTTGGTTTCTCGATGTTCCCCCCTTGTAATCCTTAGAGTGTCTCCAAAAGAGTGCCCAATATACAGGAGATCTTTGAATACTGGTTTTCTTTTATTATAACAGAAAATGGTAATAAAAATAACAAAAAATAACAATACACTATACCAATAAATATTGGATATAGGTGAAGTCCAATGTGGATTAAAAAATGAGTGTCCAAAACGCGTTTCGCCTGATTAACAGGCTTCCTCAGTTGGCTCTGATGTCTCCTTTAATGTTCTTTCCTTTTTAAAAGTCCCGCTGGCCGGTTTCTCCATCTTTATATGTCACTTCCGGGTTCCGTCTGTTGGAACGCAATGTGCGTTCCAACCCCGGCGTTCACATCCGGGTCACGTCTAAATGGAACGCATATGCGTTCCACCTCCATACCTTGCACAAAGCATCTATCATAATTAAATAATCAAATAAATAGATAAACATAACAATGTAAAAATGTGGTAAAAAAAAAAGGTTATATAAAACCAAGTTATATAAGACCAATTGGGGGCCCCAATTTGTGTGTGTAACAAAAGAAGGAAAACATTTAAAAGTTGATAATAAAATGTTTAAAAAGTCTATATAGATAATGGTCTGATAAACAATTGGTGGTAAGTATAGCTCTATCAATTATGAAAAATAAAGGACTATCCTATCCCAACCTTGAAGGGACAGAATATCGCGTATAGAAGCAAATCTAGTTCCTTTTTAAAATAGATAAAAATAATCAATTAAAACACTGGTAATCAATTAAAACAATTGAAAAAAGGAAATTGTATAATAATCCATAATTGTAATGGCAAATTAATAAAAATAATCTCTAAAAACTTTTAAATGTTTTTATAAAATATTAAAAGTGGTACAAAAGTGTAGTAGGCTAAGGTTGATGCATAAAGTGACATAGTTCAAAGTCATTATTTAGTCCAAATGGAATCATAGTGTTAAAATTAAATATAAACTTCATTTCTTCTTTACCTATTTTGTTCACATAATCACCTCCTCTCCAATCTTTTTTTACTAATTTTAACGCACAGAAAAACATTCCTTCTGGATTTTGCTGGTGAACATGTTTAAAATGATTCGAAACACTATGGGTTTCTACCCCATTTTTTATATTTCTTATGTGTTCCGCTATCCTTATGTTTAGGCTTCGAATTGTGCGCCATACATATACAAGATTACATGGACATTTTAAGATATAAATAACTCTCTTTGAATGACATGTTAAATGATCTTTTATAGTGAATTTCTTATTAATCACAGGTTCTAAGTCTGTTAGATGTCTTTTTTACTTTTTGTATTCTTACATGGTAGACATTGCCCGCATCCATAAAAGCCTTTTCTCACTGCAAAAAAAGCTTTACCTGTTGTTTGTTCTTTATTACTACTTTGGACCAAAGTATTTCTTAAATTTTTTTGCCTCTAAAAATTATTTTTGGTTTTTCTGGCAATAGATTTTTAAGAATTGGATCATCTTTCAATATGTGCCAATGCTTTGCTATAACTTTATTTATTTTTCTGCTATTGCCATGGTAATTGCATATAAAGGGGATGTCTTGGTTCCAATTTAGGTCTTTCTTTTTCTGTTTATATGTTAAAAGGTCTGTCCTTTGTGTTTATAGCTAATTGGAGGGAAGCCTTATCATATCCTTTTTCTAAGAATTGAACTTTAATTTGATTTGCCTGTTCCAAAAAATCTTGTTCATTTGTGCAATTCCTTCTTATTCGTAGGAATTGTCCCTTGGGAGCATTGCTTCACCAAGGGGTATGGTGGCAACTTTCTCTTCTAATATAGCTATAAGCATCAACTTCCTTAAAATGGTTCTTAGTGGTAATAGTACCGTGTGTTATAAATATCTCTAAATATAAAAAGTTGATCTGTTGAGTGCTAATCTGTGCTGTTAAAATAATGTTCCACTGGTTGTTGTTAAGATAACTGATAAAAGAAAGTAGATCAGTATGTGACGCTGTCCAAATAAAAAATATGTCGTCTATATACCGGCGATAGTTTACCAAGTTCGCCCCCCCATGAATGTCCTTGTTAAATGAACTGTTCTTCCCAATATGCCATGAATAAATTTGCATAACTGGGGGCGAACTTGGTACCCATCGCCGTACCTCTAATCTGTAAATAAAACACCTCATTAAAACAGAAAAGGTTGTTGGTTAAAACTAAATTTATCCCTTCTAAAATGAATAAAATTTGTTCTTCCTTAAAATTATATTTGTTTAAAAAATATTGTACTGCTTCTAGGCTCTTCTCATGTGGTATGATGCTATATAAAGATGTCACATCACACGTGACTAACAAATTGCCATCTTGCCAGGGGGTAGTTTCTAAAATTTGCAAAATGTGGATAGTATCTTTGAACCATTTTAAGGAAGTTGATGCTAATAGCTATATTAGAAGAGAAAGTTGCCACCATACCCCTTGGTTAAGCAATGCTCCCAAGGGACAATTCCTACGAATAAGAAGGAATTGCACAAATGAACAAGATTTTTTGGAACAGGCAAATCAAATTAAAGTTCAATTCAAAAGGATATGATGAGGCTTCCCTCCAATTAGCTATAAACGAGGTTCAAAAAACACAAAGGACAGACCTTTTAACATATAAACAGAAAAAGAAAGACCTAATTTGGAACCAAGACGTCCCCTTTATATGCAATTACCATGGCAATAGCAGAAAAATAAATAAAGTTATAGCAAAGCATTGGCACATATTGAAAGATGATCCAATTCTTAAAAATCTATTGCCAGAAAAACCAAAAATAATTTTTAGAGGCGCAAAAAATTTAAGAAATACTTTGGTCCAAAGTAGTAATAAAGAACAAACAACAGGTAAAGCTTTTTTTGCAATGAGCAAAGGCTTTTATGGATGTGGGCAATGTCTAGCATGTAAGAATACCAAAAGTAAAAAAAGACATCTAACAGACTTAGAACCTGTGATTAATAAGAAATTCACTATAAAAGATCATGTAACATGTCATTCGAAGGGAGTTATTTATATCTTAAAATGTCCATGTAATCTTGTATATGTAGGGCGCACAATTCGAAGCCTAAACATAAGGATAGCGGAACACATAAGAAATATCAAAAATGGGGTATCTATTTTAAAAAGGAACTAGATTTGCTTCTATACGCGATATTCTGTCCCTTCAAGGTTGGGATAGGATAGTCCTTTATTTTTCATAATTGATAGAGCTATACTTACCACCAATTGTTTATCAGACCATTATCTATACAGACTTTTTAAACATTTTATTATCAACTTTTAAATGTTTTCCTTCTTTTGTTACACACGCAAATTGGGGCCCCCAATTGGTCTTATATAACTTGGTTTTATATAACCTTTTTTTTTTACCACATTTTTACATTGTTATGTTTATCTATTTATTTGATTATTTAATTATGATAGATGCTTTGTGCAAGGTATGGAGGTGGAACGCATATGCGTTCCAACCTCACTCTGCCCGATAGTGCTGAGTGGCCACCCGATGTGAGTAATAAGAGAATCCACGGTTGGAAGGCACATGCGTTCCATTTAGACGCGACCCGGAAGTGAACGCCGGGGTTGGAACGCACGTTGCGTTCCAACAGACGGAACCCGGAAGTGACATATAAAGATGGAGAAACCGGCCAGCGGGACTTTTAAAAAGGAAAGAACATTAAAGGAGACATCAGAGCCAACTGAGGAAGCCTTTTAATCAGGCGAAACGCGTTTTGGACACTCATTTTTTAATCCACATTGGACTTCACCTATATCCAATATTTATTGGTATAGTGTATTGTTATTTTTTGTTATTTTTATTACCATTTTCTGTTATAATAAAAGAAAACCAGTATTCAAAGATCTCCTGTATATTGGGCACTCTTTTGGAGACACTCTAAGGATTACAAGGGGGGGACATCGAGAAACCAACGAAAGAAGGGTTTGGACAACCCCCTAATGGTCCAAGGGAGCATACTTTTAGAGTCATATGACGGTATGACTCTAGTCTTGTGAGTTCAACCATCTTACCTCTATTATGTATTATACTGTATAGACATACTACGCTATCTGCATTTATTCTGTTGTACAGTTTGTTCAAGAGATTTCACAGCTCCACCTATTATTTTCTATGTATTGCAAAATAAAAATATCAAGTCCTTAAGAAATTAAAACCCTTCTCAGTCCAAATCGAGGAAATTCCTAGTGAACCTCATATGTGCGTGAAGAGCTGTCCATACATAGCTTGGCGTTCCTGAATAAGATGTTAGCAACATATTCTTTAAATCAGAGCTTTATTAATTGATTCTATACTGCCCAGGGAACTCTGCAGCTAATGTGTATGGGTGACAGATAACGCACTCACTGTGGCTAGTAAGCTGACTTTTCATGAGAGACAGAGGTCAATCCTCAGAAGAATGTAACTAAGCTGGACTCGTACATTCATTGGTTGATTCCACACGACAGCACCAGGGCAAATGCTCTTCCTGAGATACTTGGCTTAAATGTGGGGTCCCTAGAAGTGTTCTCTAGCTTTTACAACCAGCTGACTCAGCAGCTTGGTGTAAATTGCAACCCAGAGGTGTGCTCTAATTTCTTGCTTTTGTCACCCTGCTGAACAAACTCTGAACTCTGATCCCAGCTCAATTAGAGATCAGAGTCTCCCTCTTTTAGGTCACATCTAAAGGTGTTCTGGCAGTTAGAAGTCTTGGAAAACTGAAACACCCATCTGGAGTGTAGGCTGCAGGAGGGAACAGAAATAGATTCAGTGGCCCACAATTGTGGCACTAATGATATTAATAGAAAGCAGGTCCAGGCAATCAAAGTTTCTTCAAAAAGGCAAATTTATTGAAAACTGAATTTACAACGTTTCAGCCTTCGCAGGGGCCTTTTTTGCTTGACAAAGGCCTCTGTGAAGGCAGAAACATTGCAAATTCAGTTTTCAATAAATCTGCCTCTTTGAAGAAACCTTGAGTGCCTGGACCTACTTTCTACTAATATCTACTAAATTGGGTTTTGCCAACTCGGTCTTTGATGCACCCAGTTTTCACTGTGAGAGTGCGGCATTCTTTATGTTTGAACTAATGATAGTAATGATAGTAATGACCCAAGCCATCTGTCTGCTTTACTAATGGAGAAGAAAATCAAAACTGTGCACAATCCTGAACATTAATCACATCACACCCAGCCCTGCACACTTTATTTACACACAGAGATCCAAAGACACACACACATACATGAAACTTTTTTTTAACTTAATGTTTTAAACTACACAAATGAACAACAGTGGGCAACAGGGAATATGTGCTGTAAGGCTGAAGTTGATTGTACAATAAGAAGCAAGGCCTTGTATTGGTACCACTACCATGCCTAGTGGCTTGTGAAGATTTATACCAAGGGTTTATCTCATTGATCATTGCATATTCTCAGTCATTGATATTGTTGACTAAAGTAAAGACACAAGTGTCTCAATATTAAAGTCACCATAACCTGCCCATGCCATGTACCTCTAGTGCTGGATTTTGCACAGTACATCTAAATAGATTAAACTGTCAATGCTAAGGACAAACAGAAGATAAGCTCAGTTTCAGTTTGTACCCACCTTCACATTGTTCTGGCTGATTCTTTTTTGGACAGAATTGAGTTGTAGATGTTGGACGATACTGTCTTTTACATTCGCAGTAGTAACCACCATCTGTGTTTATGCATGTTGCACGATTACCGCACCTGTTCGTTTTGTTGCATTCATTCACATCTGGAAGCAGAATGAAGGCTCCATTGTGAATGTTTAATGTATATAATGGTTTTTTTTGTGGGTTTTTTTTTTTTATGTTATAACAGGCATGTTGTTGGTTATGCATCAAAAGGAAACACGCCAGTCATTGGATTAGGGCAAAAGTGTAATATGAACTCAATAAATGAAAAACTTAACAGTACCAATGTAAAAGAAAAGTGAAATCTCTAAATCTAATCAGAAATGGAAATAATTGGGGTCACGATTCTTTGTTTGTCAAAATTAACAGAAATATTTTGTTGCAGATATAACATCTCCCAGTGAAATTGTACATTTGATGTTATCGCAAAAAATTGGTATTTGTAAGAGTTTTAATTAGAATTTCACGTGTTATATTTTCTTATGTTAAGCCTTTGGAAGCACATTAACTTCTTAATAAGTAACCCCCACAGCAAACCAGCTAGAACTGTTTGTATGCTTTGCCTTCAAGTTCTGCATCAGGTCCTAGTTCACTCGCTATTGTTTACCTACCTGTAATCTAAATATTATACTGTATTTAAACTTTTAAACTTTTTGTGTTTATTTAAATAAGGCAGTATTCCTTCCCACCTAATCAAGCATCTAGCTGTTTGTTCGTCCATCAAGAAGTGTTACTGCTGGGTAGTACTTCAGAGAGAGTCAGCACAGCTGATCAAATAGGTGGGTCATCCTAAATTATTTTATTTAGGCCACCAGAAACATTCAAGCAGACTTGGAAAAAGGAGAAATTGATTAAACTTTAAGAATGATTGGACATGGGTAGCTGCTAAAAAATTCCAGGTCAGGACAGAAGGGTAATCTTTAGACACAGATATCCCTTCAAACTAATGGAGTCACCTGAATACATCAAGGTTCCTACTGATTTAAGATGTGGTAGAACTTACCTCTGCAGATCATGATCCCTGGTTTGGAACATTTATAATATCCTTTCAAGCAACGACACTTTGAAATATTTAAACAGGTCTCAGTTTTTGGACAGACAATTCCAGGACTACACAACTGTTCATCTGTAGAGACAAAACATTGAAATATGAAAATATACTCTTGAATAACCTGATATAAGAAAGTACTCTATAAGGCAACCATAGGCGTGCGCAGCCTATTGCATTAGGGTGTGCACCCTAAAGCACAAACACACGCCGCGTGTATATGTATGTGTGTGTATATATATATATATATATATACACATACACACATATATAAATATATATACATACACACATACATACACTGCTGTGTGTGTGTGTGCTGCGTGAGGGTGGTTTGAGGGTGTTGTGTGTGTGTGTGTGTGTGTGTGTAAGGGTGCTGTGTGTGAGGGTGCTGTTAGTGTGATGTGTGTGTGTAAGGGTGCTGTTTGTGTGCTGTGTGTGAGGGTGTTTGTGTGTGTGTGTGTGTGTGTGTGTGTGTGTGTATTTGTTAGGGTCCTGTTAGTGTGCTGTGTGTGTGAGGGTGCTATGTGTGTATTTGTGAGGGTGCTGTTTCTGTGCTGTGTGTGAGAGGGTGCTGTGTGTTTGAGGGTGCTGTATGTGTGTGGGTTCTGTATGTGTGAGGGTGCTGTACGTGTGTGGGTGCTGTGTGTGTGTTGGTGCTGTATGTGTGTGAGGATGCTGTATGTTTGTGGGTGCTGTATGTTTGTGCTGTGTGTGGGGGTGCTGTATGTGTGAAGGTGCTGCATGTGTGTGCGTGTGTGCTGTATGTGTGTGTGTGTGCTGTGTGTGTGTGGTGTATGTGTGTGTGTTCTGTATGTACGAGGGTGCTGTATGTGTGTGGGTGCTGTGTGTGTGTGGTGCTGTGTGTGTGTGCTGTATGTGTGTGAGGGTGCTGTAGGTGTGTGCTGTGTGTGTGTGGGTGCTGTATGTGTGAAGGTGCTGTATGTGAGTGCTGTGTGTGTGTGTGGTGTATGTGTGTGAGGGTGCTGTATGTGTGTGTGTGGTGTGGTGTGTGTGGGGGGGTGCTGTATGTGTGTGTGTCTGCTGTGTGTGCTGTATGTGTGTGTGTGTGGGTGCTGTGTGTGTGTGCTGTGTGTGTGTGTGCTGTGTGTGTGTGGGTGCTGTATGTGTGTGCTGTGTGTGTGGGTGCTGTATGTGTGAAGGTGCTGTATGTGTGTGTGTGTTGTGTGTGTGTGTGTGCTGTATGTGTGTGTGTGCTGTATGTGTGTGTGTGCTGTATTTGTGTGTGTGCTGTATGTGTGTGAGGGTGCTGTATGTGTTTGTGTATGCTGTATGTGTGTGCTATATGTGTGTGTGTGTGCTGTATGTGTGTGTGTTATGTGTGTGAGGGTGCTGTATGTGTGTGTGTGCTGTGTGTGTGTGCTGTATGTGTGTGGGTGATTGTGGGGGGTGGAGGTGGGGGTTCATTACTTAATATCCCCCCTCCCTTCTTACCTTATGTAGGGAGGAGGATTCTGGTTCCTGCTGCTTTCCCTGGTGGTCCAGTGGTGAGTGAACTCTAGCTCCTGTGAGGCTGGTTGAGCTCCCCAGGTCCTCTCCTGCCTTCCTACATGCTGCAGTGGGGAGGGAGGCTGAGAGCAGAGCGCGCTGGCTCTGCATGAGCCGACAGGGGAGATCCTGAGATCTCCCCTGCCAGTCTCACTCAATAGGCATGCCGCGGGGATTAGGGTGTGCCCAGGCACACCCGGCACACCCCGTGCGCACGCCTATGAAGGCAACAGAATCACAATAAATTTACCAGTCTCAGTCCTGCCATGGGCAGTATTAAACAACACAGGACAATTCTAACATTGATTAGGCTATACACATCACAAAACTGGCACAAATCGCAAATATTTTTCAAACTAATCACAGGTGTCTGAGACACATGTTCTAATCCATATATAGTGAACTCAATAAGGTCCCAGCGCACAATACTTCAACCATGGCTGCATGTATACCCTCTGGCATGTTAAAATCGTGAGATGAGAGAGAACTTAACGTGTCACTGTCACTTGTGGGGTCTTTATAGTTTTTTTGCATAGATCCGCAAGGTCGCATGTCAGCTTGCATGCTGGGGTAAGTAGGCAAAGAGATTTATGTTTCTTATTTCTCCCTCCTCTGTGCTGTCATCTTCTCACTGCAATGCCTCTTCAGATAACGGCAGCTCACTTGCCAATAGTGATGTACCGAACTGTTCGCTGGCGAATAGTTCCTGGCGAACATAGCGTGTTCGCGTTCGCCACCGCGGGCGAACACATGCGAGGTTCGATCCGCCCCCTATTCGTCATCATTGAGCAAACTTTGACCCTGTGCGTCACGGTCAGCAGACACATTCCAGCAAATTAGCAGCAGACCCTCCCTTCCAGACCCTCCCACCTCCCTCCCAGCATCCATTTTAGATTCATTCTGAAGCTGCATGCTTAGTGAGAGGAGGGAAAGTGTAGCTGCTGCTCATTAGATAGGGAAATTGATAGCTAGGGTAGGGTATTCAGTGTCCACTACAGTCCTGAAGGACTCATCTGATCTCTGCTGTAAGGACAGCACCCCAAAAAGCCCTTTTTAGGGCTAGAACATCAGTCTGCTTTTTTTTTGTTGCTTTTTTTTTCTGTGTAATGTAATTGCAGTTGCCTGCCTGCCTGCCAGCTTCTGTGTCAGGCTCACAGTGGATACTGTGCCCATTTGCCCAGTCAGTGCCACCACTCATATCTGGTGTCACAATAGCTTAAGCTTGACATTTAAAAAGAAAAAAAATTTTTTCACTGTAATAGATTGAATAGCAGTTACTTGTCTGCCAGCTTCTGTGTCAGGCTCACAGTGGATACTGTGCCCATTTGCCCAGTGCCACGACTCATATCTGGTGTCACAATAGCTTAAGCTTGACATTTAAAAAGCAAAAAAAAATTTTCACTGTAATATATTGAATAGCAGTTACTTGTCTGCCAGCTTCGGTGTCAGGCTCACAGTGGATACTGTGCCCAGTGCCACCACTCACTCACTGGTGTCACGATAGCTTGCATTTAAAAACAAAAAACTTTTTTCACTGTTATAGATTGAATAGCAGTTAGTTGTCTCAAAGCGGGTGTGTCAGGCTCACAGTGGATATTGTGCCAGTTCACAGTGCCACTCATATCTGGTGTCATAATAGCTTGCATTTAAAAACAAAAAACTTTTTTCACTGTTATAGATTGAATAGCAGTTAGTTGTTTCAAAGCGGGTGTGTCAGGCTCACATTGGATACTGTGCCCAGTGCCACCACTCACTCACTGGTGTCACAATAGAGTGCATTTAAAACCAAAAAACTT